AAAAACCGCATGATCATCTCGTTTGATGCAGAAAAGGCTTTTGACAAAGTCCAACACTCATTCATGTTCAAAGTCCTACAGAAAATTGGAATAGAAGGCCTCTACTTCAATCTGATAAAAAGTCATCTATGACAACCCAACGGCTAATATAATTCTCAATGGAGAAAAACTGAAATCTTTTACTCTCAGATCTGGTACAACACAAGGATGTCCTCTATCACCACTCCTATTCAATATAGTTCTGGAATCATTAGCTAGAGCCATTAGACAAGACTGAGAAATAAAAGGAATAAGAATAGGTAAAGAAGTGAAACTATCATTATTTGCAGATGACATATACTTTACTTGGAAGACCCAAAATACTCCACCAAGAAGCTACTAGAATTGATAGACAAATTCATTAGCATAGCAGGATACAAAGTCAATACCCAAAAGTCAATCGTATTCCTCTACACAGACAACAAACACACTGGAAAAAAAACCAAACACACTGAGAGGGAAATTAGAGAGTCAATACCTTTTACAATAGCCCCACGAAAACTGAAATACCTTGGAATTCATGTAACTAAAGAAATCAAAGATCTTTTCACAGAAAATTACGGTACTCTGAAAAAAAGTTTGTAGAGGATTTCAGAAAATGGAAAGATATTCCCTGCTCCTGGATTGGAAGAACCAACATCGTGAAGATGGCCATAGTCCCAAAATTGTTGTACAGATTTAATGCAATCCCTATCAGACTACCATCAACATACCTCACAGACCTAGAGAAAATGTTCCTAAAATTTATTTGGAACCAAAAAAGGCCTAGAATTGAAAAGGCAATCCTGGCCAACAAAAACAAAGCAGGAGGCATTACAATTCCCGACTTGAAATTATACTACAAAGCTACTGTGATAAAATCAGCATGGTATTGGCAACAAAATAGACCTGAGAATCAATGGAATAGATTAGAAAGAGTGCTGGGGAAAAGAGGCCTAGTAGCTAACAGAATAAAACTCAGTACATAACTAATGCCGGAGACAGATGATCTCCAGGAGTGCTGGGGAAAAGAGGTCTAATAGCTAATGCATCCTGGAAAGGCCAGCAAGGGCCTGAAGAGCAGAGAAGCTAGGAAAAGGCAGGTAGAGGGGGACAGCCATGCTCAGCATCAGGAAACCTGGGCACCAAAACGAAAGGAGACCAGAGTGCAAAGGGCTGAGCGGTGAGCAGAGAAGACACCAGTTAGAACAAGTAGGGGCCACGCCTACACCAGGCGCAGCATGCAGCGTGCAGGCAACACCAACCATGCCGTGTGCGCAGCAGCCAAGGGGCAGGCGTTGGCCTATTCCCACCGGGGAGGGGCGAGACAAGGCACCCAGAGGTTAGGTGAGATCTACACGAGCACAGCTGGGGGTGAGACGCAGGGGGAACTGCGCAAGCATGGGGTGAGGCAGGCCAGTCAAGGGGCGGGAACCCAAACAACTGGAAGGCAGGGGTTTTTCCTTCACAGATGGGTGCAGAAGATACCGAGTATGAAACCCAGGACCTTGTATGTGCAACAAGGCAAGTAGACCACCACTCAGTGGTAGTCCTGGAAAGGCAGGCAGATATTTTTTTTAGAAGGTCTGGGCATTTCTGGGGTGAGACTACATACAAGTCTCAGGAGCAGAGACAAGAGCACATCATACAGCGAGGGAAGGCACTATTTCCCTACGGTCTTCACTTACATGCTTTTTTTTTTTTTTTTTTTTGTGGAACCAGAGATTGAACTCAGACCCTTGCACTTGCAAGGGAAGAGCTTATTCTACTGCTCGGCCCCTACATGTTTATTAAACAGATAAACAAAAATACAAATGTGATACACAATATTAATGCTCTCAACAACTTAAAAAACTCAGGTCTGAGAGTCACCATCTTGTACCTGTCTACCTCTCCTTCCTCAGTCACATGAATGACAAATGAACACGAGTGCACCCACGAGCCAATAGTTGAGTGCAGCCCTGGCTGGGCCAGAAGCAGCTGTGACCCCAGAAAGAGCTGAAGTCCCACCTTTAGTGTCATACTCTTCCTCCACCTTGTCGCCATCTTCCTCCTCCCGTATGATTAGCCGGCCATCAGCGCTCACCTTGAAGCCATGGTCCTTCTTCTTGCCCCGGCCTGGCTCAGGCTGTGTGGCTGGTGTGGCAGAATTTGGCATAAGGAGGTGCACGGGCACCCTGCTCAGAACCAACACCCTCACCGCTTACCCAGCAGTCTGCCATGCAGCCATCCCATCCCTGCCCAGGAGCACAGCATCAAGGCCGGTCTGGTGTCTGAGCTCTTGGGCTAGTTGCTCTTGCTCACCAAGGACTCTCTGGGCCACCTTGGGATCCAGGAAGTTGAGGGGCTCATCCCCACCACCTTCCTTGAGCCATGCCCGGCTCCTCTCCCGCGCCAGCTTCCGCTGCTCCCTTCCATGGCCTTGATCCTCCTCTTCGTTATCCTCATCCTCTGAGTCAGCCAAAATCTCTTCAATGCTAAGGACAGAGGTTCCCCAAGTCAGAGCGCTCTCAGGAGAGGCAGACATAAATAAACAGGGCACTGCCCCAAAGGGTTGTTTGTGGACAGGTGAGATCCCCAGAACTCACCTGTCTCCCTTGCCCTGGATGGGCTCCTCCTCTTCTTCTTCCTCTGCAGCAGCCTGAGTCAGGGCACGGTGCTTCTTGGCCCTAGTCTCAGCTTTCCGGATGTTGATCAGCACTTTGTGGTACTCCTCGGGCAGTAGTCCCTTCACCAACTCAAATCTGAGGGTGGCAAAAAGGGCAGTGAGAAGAGAGCAATCCCCAGAGGTAGGAGAAGTGCAGAGATCCTTCCCTGCAGCCAGGGAACTCCATGCCCATTCACTATCCCAGTGTAGCACACAGACCCAAACTTGCGGATGAACTTGATGAATAGGTTCCGAAGCTTCATGCGGAAGTGTCGCCGCATGTCATCTGACAGTTTCCCAATGGCTTCCATCTGCCAGGCAGAGCAGAGCACCAGGGTGTTAAGAGGAGGGTAGTGTACACCTACCCTGCCCATCTTTTCCTGCTCTCCAGAGAAGAGACAGAACACAATGGGGCCCAGCTAAGAGGGTAGTGTTCTGGTGCCCTGTTCCTGGCCTGCCCTCGGCTCAATCACACTTCCAGAACATGGGCAGCTCCAGCTTTACTTTTAACTCCCCTTCACAACAAGCCCTGGCCGCTTTCAAGATACCCATGTTGGTGCTGCTGAACAGCGCCTGCACTCTACATATGCTCTCACTTAAACCTCAAGTGAGAGGTTAAACAACTCAATTTACAGAGGAGGCAATTAAGGCACAGGGTCACATACTGCTACATCACCACAGGAGCAGAAGCTTCTCCGAGGGCCCTCTAATCCAGCAGGTCCTACACTTTGCTCCTATGAACACCAAGCCTCTCTTGGTCCCACACAGCCCTCCTGTCATGCTGCACTTTCATTTGGCCTTGTTTAGGTTACACGTGCAAGCGGAAGGTATCATCAGCACATGGGTGTAATGAGGATGTCTCTGCCACTGTTCTCTGCTCTGCAGAGCCCTAGCTCCAGGGCAGTGACACAGAAGCAGGGAGGAAAAGGCAGCCAAGGCATTATGCTCCTTCCTTGCCTGTGCTGGGCTGACATCCCCGTACAAGTCCCTACCAGAGCTCCTTAGTGACCTTACACCTTACAAAATAGCTATAGCTAAAGGAAAATTTGAAACTTAAGACTGAGGGAAAGGGGACCTACTGAGGAAAAGGGGACCCTCACCACGAGCTGCACGTGCTTGGCCAGGTGCACCACATCCATGACCACCACAGCCACCTTGATGAAGCCCAGGGCAGATTTGACCACATCTCGGGTGCGTGAGGCCAGCAGCAGGCACACATTCTTCAGCAGCTGTTCCACTGTGCTGGTCCCCATCAACCCTGTGGTAAGGGGGACATTGTCAGAGGTACTAGGATTCCCCAGACCAAAGACCACACCCTGAGGAAGCAGGAGCTGCCACCTGCCCACCAGGTCAAATGTTAACAAAAGCAACACCTTGAGCCTACGTGCTGGCACAACTGTAATCATCCTTCATGGAGGGGCCTTTGTCCTTTAGCAACCCTGACGCAAACACTGTTCCACCCCTCACTTCAGAAGAAACAGAGGTTCTATAACTTTAATAAAATTGCTTAACCATGTGAAATTCTGAACAATTTTACTAACCACTTCCTGCCTCTTGGTACCTTTCCTGTTCCAACAGTCACCCTGTCTTTTTTTTTTTTTTTTTTTGTGGAACCGGGGATTGAACTCAGGCCCTTGTGCTTGCCAGAGAAGCGCTGATTCCACTGAGCTATCTCCTCGGCCCCCTTTTTTTTTTTTTTTTTAGTCACCCTGTCTTTGACATTTCACACATTTTCCTACATTAAGGGTTTCTAAGGCCTTCAAGGAAGTAAATTTTTACCTTTAAACTCAAAAAGGAGGTGGGTCAGGGCCAGGATGCTGCAACTGACTGTGGTTACTGGGCCCACGAGGCCAGGGTAGATCAGAATGAGGTACTGCTGCAGGGCTTCTGGGAGCAGAAACACGGAAGTGTCATGTGAGGATGAAGGGCCAGGGCCAGGCAGGGAGCACTCTCCACCTTCTCTCTTGGACCAGTGCTTTGAGGGGCGCTTTCCACCAGCCCACCAGTAACATCTATCCCAGCATGCATCCCTCAGCCTCACCTTCCTGGTTGGAGCCAAACCGCAGAAAAGCACGGCCCATCTCCACCAACAGGGCAAAAGCATTCTTTCGGGCGCCCACGGACACCTCTTTGGTGCACAGGATTACCTAGCCCAGAGAGTACCACTGTCAGTCGCTCCCCAAGTGACTTTGGGGTGGGCTGCTGAAGCACAAGGGTAGGGACAGGCACCCCTCCGCTCACTGCCCTCTCCTGCTTCTGAAAGGCTCTTAAAGCCATTCTCCAGCAACTCCCAAACACATACACACACCTCCCACCCAGCTTACCTCTGGGATGAGGGCAGCGATAAACTCCTCATGCTCAGCTGAGAGGCTCTTCACAACATGGATGAGGCACTTCAAACGGGGCTGTGTGCAACAGGCCAGTTGGGACCCCCAAAGCCTCCTCAGTGGCCTTCTCATTACCATTCCTCCCTCAGCAAAGTGGGAGAACCCCAAGCCCTCACCCTCTTGGCGGGCGAGGACGTGTTCCGGAGCGAGTCCAGCAGGGTCTTCTTCAGGTCATCCAGGTGACTCTCCACAAAGCGGGCCGCGGGCCCCTGGGAGCTGGCACACACCTCCTCCAGAACTCGGTAGGCCTTCTTCTGCACCCCATGAACCTTGCTCTGAGGACAGGGACAGGTGAGAAAGGGGCCCGACTCACCCTCCACTGACATTTCTAGAGCACTTTTTGTGCCCAGCACTGGAGAGAGGTGGAGAGCAGGAATGAGGTCTGACGAGGTTAGGTGCAGTATGGACAGTGACAGGCTAATTCCTGCACTGGGCACAGGGGATGCTGTGCGACAGCCCACGCGCCACCTCTACCTACTGCACATCCCACAGGGGATGCTGTGCGACAGCCCACGCGCCACCTCTACCT